AGAGGGGGATTCAGAGGGAGGAACCTCACCCTGAGAATGTCCTCCAAAGTCTTAGATAGGCTGCAACTGTTTATATATATTCCTTTCCAGTACCGGAATGGTTTATGGGGGTCATGCACAAAGACCTTCCTGCAGTAGGCAAAGTCTGAAAGGAACAGGGGAGACCATGGTGCGCTTCAGCTCCGGGAGCCTTGAGGGGACACACAGTGTGTGACTCTTAGGGACCACTCTTCCCATCATGATTTCAGACCCTTTTCTCTTTCCTTCCCAGGACTTCATTGTCACTTCAGTCCCCTTTCTCCTTGTGATTCTGAGCCATCCCTCCACGCCCCCTTCTGGAAGCCTCCTTCTTGCAGGTGTCCTTCACCTCCCTCCCCAGCCTGGACCACCTCTCTCCCCTGAACTTCTCCTCCAGGAGACTCCCCGACTCCAGCACCTCCTCCGCAGGCAGCTAAGGGGGCTTCTCCTTCCTTTCTGGGGATTCTAGGTCCTTCCTGCCTGGTCCTAGTGTCCCGTCCCCCCCCCATCCCTGCCCCGGCGCCCTCTGCTCTCACCATCTGGAGTCATTATTGCCACCTGGGCCCCTGCGCCTTGAAGGCTGCGCAGCCCCTGCTGGTACTCGGGGCGACTGGAGTAGTAGAGGCGGGCAACGAAGATGCTCAGCTGCACGTACTCGTGGTCCTTCAGGAACTCGACCACCTGCCTCGCACATTGGAAGCAGGGGCTCCAGGACATGAACCATGTGACATGGTATTTCTCCTCGCGGGACAGGTTCTGGGCCAAGAATGCTGGCTGGGTCTTGAACCAATTCAAGAAGCAGATTTCTGTGTGCTTGGGCTTCTTGGGATAGAACTGGGAGAGACGGAGAGGGGAAAGGGACCCTCTGGGCTGGCGGAGCAGGCATGTTGCAGGGCTGGAGGAGTGGGGACCAGGGGACAGGGAGCCAGAGTCTCAGAAGCATGTTATTGATTGATTCCTTTTTAAACGTCTCCCCTCCAGGCTGTTTTAGCTTAGTCATCCCTTCCCACCCTCATCCATGAACTCCAACACCCACCCTCCCATTCTTTCATTCTAGGAGCATTCCGGGTGCTTGCTCCAGGCCAGGCTGCTGGGTCCAGGCTTGTTGTCTGGGTGCTGTCTGCCGGGGAGGGCCCAGAGCAGTGCTGCCCACAGAGAGCCACTAGCACAGATGTCTACTGTGCTCTTGAAATGTGGCTCGCCTGCACTGATGTGTGTGACAATTACTGAATACACCCCTTATCTCCATGACGTGGTATGAAAGAAGAATGTAAACTATCTCATGAAGAACTTTTATATTAACAATATGTTGAAACAATATCTTCGACATATTACAAAGTACGTTATCAACATTAAATTAATTGATTTCTCTGAAAGTTTGACCACTGGCTACTAGAAAAGTTTAAATGACACAAGTGACCCCAATCGTGCTGCCACGGGTAGGACTGCCACGGTGACACCCCGTCCACCCATAAGGGCTCTGAGTAGTCTGCAGTCCGGGTGGGGAAGGGAGGGCTGGTGTGTGGTGGACACTTCACAGGAGACCTTAGTGTTTGGCGGCGGGGCGGGGGCTTGCTCTGTGTATGCTGAGGCTGCCGTCCTCGCCCAGGTGTACCTGGCATTTCAGGATGGTCAGGTAGTGACATCCAGGGCTAAACCTTAGGACAATGTTGTGGTAATTTTACATATGTGGCATTTTACATATTATCATTTCCCCACATCCTTCCCTGGCTTAGCTCCTGCCTCTGATGACAGCATCGTGGGGCACATACCTCATTTTCAAAAACCCCGGTGCCCACGTCCAAGGGCAAGCCCCTCTGTGTTCTTTTCACTTCGTAGCAGAGGTAGCAGCCATTGCGACCTCCATGGTCAGGGCAGTTTTTAAAGTGGAAGTAGAAACACTTAGGTCTAAATCTTCTCACTGGGTTCCTGGGGGCAGGAGAGAAAAGAGAAAATGCAGGGTTCCCTTGAGTTTCTCCCATCTGGTGGCCTGGGCGCCCTGCCTCCCAGCACCCCTTCCCTTCAGCATTTCCTGCCGCCTCCAGGCAGGAAGCTGGGGTAGAGGAGGAGGGCAGGGGCTGCAGGAACAGCAGGGGCTCCTGTCCTCTCCCTTAAGGTCTGGCTCTGCTGCTTCCAACAACACACACCCAACCCCCCAACCCCAATCATTTGAATACAGAAATGAGTAATAAAACTGCCTCCACCCCCAAACATTGGATGTTCATATTAAGGTGCAATTCATGATTGACCTTTCACCTATGCATGTTTATTATTATCATTTAATGTCAGGCTAACACCTAAATTCACAGGCTCTGGCTACTGTTCTAAGAGCTCCTTGTATCTGAACTCCTCTATTCCTCCCCAAATCCAGGGGCCTCACCCCATTTTACAGAGGAGGAATCGGGGCACAGGGAGGGGAGTAGCCTGCCCAAGTCACAGGGCTGCTGAGTGACAGAGCCGGTCCCTTGCCCAGGCAAAGCCATGTCCAGCCCTTGCATGAGGTCAGCTGGCAGCGGTGGCCCTATTGGCTGAGAGGCTCTTTTCTCCCTCATTGTGAACAGCATTTCCCCCACCGGTGGGTGCACTATAAACATGAGGGCAGGGATGCCTCTGGGGACAGTCTGACTTTGCTCTTCTGCTCACAGTGCTGGCACCTTGGGAGAGAGGATTTTCCTTCCTGCTCAGTGAACTCCTCTCACTCTGAGTGGATAACGGGGTCGGTAGCACAGAAAGTGGATCCAAGTGCTTCAAACCAAATGCCCCCAGAGCTCCACTCATCCTTTAGTGCAGTGATGGCGAACCTATGACACGCGTGTCAGAGGTGACACGCAAACTCATTTTTTTGGTTGATTTTTCTTTGTTAAATGGCATTTAAATATATAAAATAAATATCAAAAATATAAGTCTTTGTTTTACTATGGTTGCCCTCTGGGGACAGTCTGACTTTGCTCTTCTGCTCACAGTGCCGGCACCTTGGGAGAGAGGATTTCCCTTCCTGCTCAGCCAGCTCCTCTCACTCTGAGTGGATAACGGGGTCAGTAGCACAGAAAGTGGATCCAGGTGCTTCAAACCAAATGCCCCCAGTGCTCCACTCATCCTTTAGTGCAATTCTAATGGCCAAGAGGGCACAGGAAAGGCCACAGAGCAGCAGCCCCACAGGCAGGGAGGGGACAGCCAGCCCCACAACTGGCAAACTGTGAGGAGGACCAAGTGGACAACAGGCCTGGATGAGGGGCAGGAGGGACCATTCAGAAGCCATTGTGGAGACATCCCCAGAAGAGGGCAAAGCCCCCGCTGGAGTGGGACCTGCAGAGAAGGTGCCCAGAGCGGGAGAGAAGCCAGGCTAGACCAGGGGGAGGACAAGGCTGAGGACAGAGACACCTCAGGGCCCCCAAGTAGAAAGGGCTACAGAGAAGGACAGAGTGGGGCAGTACCTGGGCCAGGGCACCGGAGTGAAGTCTTGGTTCCCTTGTAGCTGCTGCACTGCCCTTGGTCCCCAGCGCTGGTGCTGCATTTCTGCTCACAGGCCCAGGTTTTAGGAAAGCCCCTGTATAAAGAACCTTCCTGCCTTCTTAGCTGGACCCCACCTCCTTCCTGCTTTGGCAGCTGGGGCAGGTGGGCAGGCCCTGGGGTGTGATCTTCCTCAGCCTCAGACCCACCTTCCCTCCTCCTCTGAGGCCCTCCCTCTGGACAGAGCTGACTTCTGCTGGAGACAGGCTCCTCTGTGCAGCAGGACCCAGGCTTCTTGCAAAGGGAAAATGAAAGTGATGATGACAGGAAGAGGGGATGAGACAGGCCCTGCTCCCCTGGGAGGGCCAGGCTGGAGCCCTTCCCACACCACCCTGCACCCAGCCCAAGCCTGAGCCCAGTGCATGCTCTCCACCTGCCTCCTGTTGAATGATGGGAAAGTGTGGACCTTGGATCAGGGACAGATGTGCGTTGAGTTCCTCATTCTGGCCTTGGTCCTCTGCTTAGGTCCCTCTGCCTTCACAGGGTGGGGAGGACACAGCTGGCAGGCTCCTGTCCCTCTTGCTTTAGGAAAGCTAATAGACAGTGACCCTTGTCAGTTCCATTGCAAATGCTTTCTTTCAATGTGTGGCTAGGCTCTCGCTTCATGAAGTCTTTCCATGTATAGATGTCTTAATTTTCAATGTTCTCAAATGTATTCATTTTGTCATGTATGTATATGACATGACATAGGCATGTCGTTTTTTATTTGGTATTGGATAGCCAATGCAAGGACATTTAATGACTTTCCTTCCATGTCATTTTGTCCTACTGATGTGCAATGCCACAACCTGTGTGTGTGTGTGTGTGTGTGTGTGTGTGTGTGTGTGTAGGTTGTCTCTGACTCTCTCATATGCTCCTTTGCCTCACCTGTCCATGCCTGAGTGACTACCACACTGCTCTGCCAGGGCTTCAAAGTAGGTCCAATATTTGGTATGTCGATCCACCTTAGCTTCACCTTTGAAGTTGTATTGGCCGTGTACACATTTACATGAAGTTATGGGCAACATTTCCTTAAAATATGTTTTTTAAATTAATTTCACAGAGAGGAAGGAAGGGGGAGAGAGAGAAAAAATCATCAATGATGAGAGAATCATTCATTGGCTGCTTCCTGCATACCCCCTACTGGGAAAAGATCCCAGAACCTGGGCAAGTGCTCATGCATGAACCTCCTGGTTCATGGGTCCATGGTCAACCACTGAGCCAAACCAGCTGAGTGATGGACAAACTTTTCGTGTTTCATGTGATACCCTATTATCAATGTGTAGGGCAATCTTGGCAGGCATAGACGTCTCTGAGGCACTGAGACTCTCCATCCATGAACATGGTATATATCTCCATTTCTATGGGCCTTTTATGTTCTCAGTGAGTTGAAATCAAGTTAAAGGCAAGCTGGGAGGGAAGGAAAGAGGCAGCCATGAGGGCAAAGAAGAGTAAAGGGAGCACGGGGAGGAAGAAACTGGATCAAAAAGGAAGATATACCACTCTGGGCAGATGGAGAGAAGCAAAGCAGCGTGGAGAGAGGAAAGAATGGAGAAGGAAAGGGGCAGAAAGGGAGAATATGAATCCGGGCTCAACCTTGTCTACCTGCAACCTTGGGAAAAGGGAAAAAGAACTTTGCCTCAGAGCAATATGGTGCTCAGTAGTCATTCCGTGCTGTGAGAATTGGTGCAGTCTGGACAAGCTTGGGGATGAAAGGGGCTTCGCCCAGGTCCTGAGACATGGTGAGTCTGCACCAAAAGGCAGAGGTTACTTTAAAGAAAAGGGAATGGAGGCCCCTCTCAATACTTCCTGCTCACTTGGGCATGGTGGCGTCACTTCTGGGACTGGCATTCTCCCTGGGACACCTGCAGCAGGGGCGGGAGGAGACACAGAAATGAGGGCAGCAGCCCACAGGACATGCTGGGAGTCCTGGGGAGAGGCCAGGCGAGGCACAGGGTCAGGAGACAGGAGGAACACCCAGGGTCAGAGGAGGAGCTGGCAGAGGATAGGGAGGGTGTCCCCATCAGTGAAAGCAGAAGGAAGGGGTCAAAGAGCAGCGGCCAACCCTGTCCTGGGTCTCAGCCTCGACCACCTGCTGAGACCCCTAATGGTTCTTGTCACCACTTCTTCCCAACACTAGGCTGCGCATGGTATGAGCAGAAACTGCTGGAGGACTGAAGATTATTTGAAAATAGATTGATTCATTGAACCAGAGACTTCCCCTCTTCTTTATAATCACCTCATCCTTTGTTGAAGACTAACTATCTCCTTTGATAGACATTGTCCCAAATGCCCGACATCTAACTGTCACCACAGCCCCCGAAGTCAGTCACTGTTACTCTCTATGTGTTACTGTGAGGAATCCAAGAGGCAGCCCTGTTCCCTCTGCCACACAAACAGGGTCTCCACAGGAAGGAAACACTCCTGGAAACAGATTTATGGGCTGCCCATCAGCTGCCCTTCATGGTGGGTCCCTGCTATTGTCCATGGAAAGGATGTACAGGCTTGAAAGTTCTGTGGTTGGTCCAGTCCTCTCTCTGCCCCCTGGGAATGAGGCATGATGTGTGGAGGTGGGCCACCATCTGAGGCTTGGAGGAGACCAGCAGGAGAAGACAACCCCCCAGAGCTGAGTTGGGGGTGGGTGTGAGTGTTGGGGCCTGATTCCAATAGCATCACTGAGCGGTTGAGCCAGGCACACACTGTCCTACTCCTCCCACAGATCTTGTCCTGGGAAACAAGCTGACTTTCAGCCCCTCCATGGCGGCCACAGTCCCCTGCCAACCCAGCCTTCTGTCCTTGATCTCATTCCTGCGCCTTGTCTCCCACCATTGGCGCCCAGCCCTGCTTTGCGCAACCCCACCCCACCACCCCACCACCCCTCTCCTGTCTTTTTCTTCCATCTCCTCTGGTCACTTTGTCTATCAAGTCTTCCCTCTGGCTTTGTGTCCTCCTGACTCAGTCCCTTCCACTGCTTTGGCCATGAGCATCATGACTGTCCTTATTCTCTATCCCTCCAATGTCTCTCAAACTAAAGGATTCAGTCCCAGTCCCTCACAGTCCTGTGTGAGGTTGTGACACGGGTGGTCCGGTCATGTGAGCAGAAGCCTGTGGTGAGAGACCTGGGCCTTCGTTGCCTGTTAGGCCTTGTGCAGGATGCCCAGCTGCCAGGGGCTCGCTCAGCATGATTCAGGCTCCACAGAGACACGGCAGGACAGACAGCTGCTGCCTGCACTGCATCCTGCGTGGGCCAGGTCCTGGGAAGGGCAGAGGGATCCTTTCTGCAGGGAAGCCCCTCCCTCAAGCTTCCTCTCCAAGGAGTGGAATTGGAAAGGCCTGAGGACGCAGTAATCCCCAGCCCTCCCCCCAGCCAATGTCAACTTCAATTGCTCTTCACAATAGTGACCCTGAGCCTTTCTCTTCTCTTATTGCATGGGCTGTCATTTCATGACAGCACTACTCTCAGCATATCCTTGGTCGATGCGTTTAGGCTTTTGACTTTGAGATTCTGCTGCTATAAATGTTGCTAACTTTCCCTAACCAGTTGCAATTAGTGTCACCACTGCCCTCCCCTGAGGTACATACAGAAGAGAACGGCATTTTCACTTTTGCTAGTGCTTATTGAACTATTTGGACTTCATGAAATAATTACAGCGGGAAAAATATTTTGTGGAAGATTCTTAATCTTTCATGTTATTGCTTTGGACATAAAATCAATGTAAATAAATAATCTCCTATTTGTGACTCCGATAGTAATGAGTACAATATTACTGGTGTGGATTTGGAACATATCACTGATTTTAAATGAAAAGTAAATCAATCAGATTTTTTTAAAATTCCTTACTAGCTCATTCATTGCCTTTTCCTAGTTTCTTTCAATCAACTTGGAGATGGTGGCAAATGATGAGTTTTTATTTTATTTTTTATTGATTTCAGAGAGGAAGGGAGAGGAAGAGAGAGATAGAAACATCAATGATGAGAGAGAATCATTGACCGGCTGCCTCCTGCTCGGGGATGGAGCCCGCAACCCCAGCATGTGCCCTTGACTGGAATCGAATCCGGGACCCTTCCGTCCACAGGCAGACGGTCTATCCACTTTGCTGATATATCTCATAGAGCAAGGGAAACAAAAGAGAAAATAAACAAATGGGACTTCATAAAAATAAAAAGCTTCTGCACAGCAAAAGAAACCATGAACAAAATGAAAAGGGAGCCCACTGTATAGGAGAACATATTTGCCAATGATACATCTGATAATGGGTTAATGTCCAAAATATATAAGGAACTCATACAACTTAACAAAAGGATGACAATCCAATTAAAAAAATGGGCATAAAACCTAAATAGACACTTCTCCAAAGGGGACATACAGAAGGCCAAGAGACATATGAAAAAATGCTCAAAGTCCCTGATCACCAGTGAGACATAAATTAAAACGACAGTGAGGTATCACCTCATATCTGGCAGAATGGCTACCATCAACAAATCAATAAATGACAAGTGCTGACAAGGATGTGAAGAAAAGTAAACCCTAGTTCACTGCTGGTGGGAATGCAGACTGTTGCAGCCATTATGGAAAACAGTATGGAGTTTCCTCAAAAAATTAAATATGGAACTGACCCAGTGATCCCACTTCTAGGAATATATCCTAAGAAACCTGAAACACCCATCAGAAAGAATGTATGCACCCTTATGTTCATAGCAGCACAATTTACAGTAGCTAAGATCTGAAAACCACCTAAGTGCCCATCAGTAGATGAGTGGATATAAAAGCTGTGGTACATTTACACCATAGAATACTATGCAGCAGTAAAAGTAAGGATCTCTTACCCTTTGAGACAGCATGGAGGGACCTGGAGAGTACTATGCTAAGTGAAATGAGCCAGTCAGAGAAAGACAAGTATCACATGATCTCACTCATATATGGAACCTAAGTAACAAAATAAACTGATGAACAGAGAGGATCCAGAGATTGGAAGCATGGAACAGACTGTGGAATCTCAGAGGGAATGTGGGGGTCGGGGAGTAGGTGGGAAGAGATTAACCAAAGAACTTGTATGCTTATATGCCTAACCCATGGACACAGACAATAGTGTGGTGAAGGCCTGTGACAAGGGGCAGAGGTGGGCTAGAAGGAGTCAATGGGGGCAAAGGGGACATCTATAATACTTTCAACAACAAAACATTTTTAAGTGTTAGTACAATTTAAAAGCATGGTATTAGACCCCTACCTCCCACCACACACTAAAATAAATTCTAAATAAGTCAAAAGTCTGAATGAGAAGGGCAAACAAAAAAACTTTTAGAAAACCATATAGAAAATATTTTATGGCTTTGGAGCTAAATTTATTTCTTTTAAAAGATCCAAAAAGTATAAGTTAAAAGGCAAAATTAAAAGGCAAAAGATGGCACCCAAAGCAATCTTGAAAAAGAAGACAAAGTTGGAGCACTCCCAATTTCAAATCTTATTACAGAACTACAGTAATCAAGATAGTGTGGTACTAATTAGTAGAAGAATAGACATATAGATCAATGGAGTAAAATGGAGAATCCAGTAATAAACCCTTACATTTATGGTCTGATGATTTTCCATAATGATGCCAAGACTGTTTAATGGAGAAAAAAATAATCTTTTCAACAAATGGTCCTTGGACAACTGGATATTCACATGTGAAAGAATGAAATTAGACCTCTACCTCAACCATACACAAAAAATGGTTCATAGGCCTAAATGTAAAACAAAAACAAAACAAAACAAAACAAAAAACTGTAAAACTACTAGAAGCTAAGACATAAATCTTAGCTTGGTTTGGCAATGATTTCTTAGGTACAACACCAAAAGGGCAAGTGATAAAAAAGATAAATTGGACTTCATCAAAATTAAAAACCGTTGTGCTCCATACTATACCATCAAGAAAATTAAAAGACAGCTCATAGAATGGGAGAAAATATTGGTTTCAGGTCGCAAAGAAAGCCGGGTAGCAGAGCAAGAGATGTGAATGCTGGCAGTCCAGAGAGCAAGCCCTATAAA